CAAAGCCAAGGTTTAAGGTTTCCTGAAGAATATTTTAAGAACATATTCTAGGCATAAATTTCCATATTCTAGTTACATATGGATCCTACTTATCCTCAAAGTAGGATATTCATGTGTAGATGACAAAAAATTCTCTATTCAGATCTAATTAAGTCTCATAATCTTAATAGAGCAAAAAAAATTAAAGTTCTAGTTTTGGGGTTTGTAATATCATGCAAATGAAAAAGAAATATTAAGACAATAACATTAATGTAATGAAGCATGATAAAAGAAATTTTTCCTTAATGTTTCTAGTGGAGTCACTAAGGTATCAAATTGTAAAACATGGGTAAAACTCTAAAAAGTAAATGTTTCAAGCATTTGATGGAAGTCGCTATTAATTTATTTTTAAATAGATATCAGATATTAAAATATGTATTAGTCTAAATAAAATGTTATATGTTCAAAAGATACCGGATGGTAAGGTGTGAGACACCTATCCGTGACATAAGATTAATTAGTTTTGGTTTACGGGTTTTCGAACTAAAACAAAAGACAAAAGCAAGAAAAAATAAAGCTCATGATACAATCCTAAGAAACAAAAAAAAAATACCTAACTTATAAGAATGCCAATTCATGAAAGAAGTTCCTCACCGGAAAAAAAAAAAAAAAAAGTTGAACGAATTCATTAAAATCTCATGGCAATGAAAAGGTTCCCTCTTTAAGTCTCTAAAAAATGATTAATTAAACACTTTTAAATGTTAAAAAGACTACTTGTAGAGCGCGTAAAACATAATTTTCAAGGAAGCACACAGTCCATCCAAGATTTAAAAGAGAAGGAAAATTTTTCATATTTAAGGAAGTCCAGACGGAAAGGAAGCTCTCATTTAGGCATCTAAACAGTACCTCTGGATGCCAAAACAAAATGGAATTTTATTTATTTATTGGCGGGTTATATACTACTAATTTTTTTGTTATACTTTGTGTTAACAATTATATAATTCTCACATTTTAGCTAAATTTTTTACCAATTTTTTTTATAAAATAAAGATGAACAAAGTTTATAAGAATATGTAAGATATGCTAGATTTTGTTTAATTCAAAAATCAAGTGATTTTTGTAATCTGACAAAACCATTGAGAAGTTTTTAAAAAAACTACTAGTGAAAAAAACAAACAATTTACCATGAAGATCAAAATTACTCACATTCTTTCCTTCTCCCCTCCTAAAGCCTCTCAAGCTTTTCCATTTTATTTCTTTAGCAAGCGTCCGATTAGAACAAGATAAAGATGTTGCTTCTGCCTCCTGATGCCCATATACATAAATCAAATGTTTACAGGAACACATGCAAAAACGGTGTTCCTTCATTTCATTGCGTGTGAAAAAACAAGGATATAATACAAGGGAACTGAATAAATAAAACACAGAAGCCAGTCGGTTCCCATAGGAGAAGCATGGCAAACCTAAGTAAGAGACATATTTTATAGCAGCCCGGAACTTAAAAGGAAATAAAATCATAAATTGAATACGGAAGCGGAATAATAAAGTTAGGGTTTATATTCCTTACGCAATAGTTTTAAATACCCAATGGGGTTACAGGAATGTTACTTCTAAAAGAACAAACGAAAATTAAAGAAATAAACGAAAAATAGACAGTTGAGCATCCTATAACGACCTTCATTAGCTTTTAAAGGAGTTCGGGTGGTGAACTATTCACAACCCTCTTGTTGATCGGGATCTAGCTCTTGGTCATTTTTATCTGAAATAGTTTATTAAGATGTGAGTTATACTAACCGAGTAAGAATATCACATTACTCATCGATACATAAAATGAAGGTTGGTAAAAAATCATAAAAACAACCAATTGAGTTTTTAATTTAAGTAAATTTATTTATCATAAATAAAATCATTAATTACATATTTACCGTTGCGAAATTTTAAAACTGACCAATAGAGATAATAGTTCAACAACATCATAATCTCATATTCAAGTAAGCAAGAATAACAATTTTTCTTTTTTATTTGTCTATTGATATCCATGGAGGTCCATAGGGATGTCCCACTACGCCTGAACCAATATCCAACCTTGTCAAATAACCGACTGTCCCCATACCCCTTCCGGTATAAACGTCAAAAATATCATCTCTCAATACCTCGTCCAGTATGAGAGTGAAATGAACCGTCCTCATACCCCATCCGATATGAGCGCCAAAAATACCAAATCTCGATACCTCGTCTGGTATGAGAGTGAAACGGGCCGTCCCCATACCCCGTTCGGTATGAGGCGACGTTCACGGTAGGGTTCCCTATGTACCCGGTCCATCCACCATCTCACAGGATATCCAGTAAAGCTACCATTTATTCATTCACTTAACCAATCAATTTTCTGTTTGCATTTAATTTTTAGTTTTACAATTTAACCGTAAATCAATGCAAGACAAATAATACATGCATCAAGGAAACACAACTGAATCATTTTACTAATTTTAGTATATTATTATGCATTTAAAGGTGTAAAATCAAACAATCGGTTAAACAGGATAAACAATAATAAATAACCGATTCTGTCTCCATTAGTAACCTGTAATTAATTCTTGAAATTTTTAAATTACGCAAAATACCATATTATTGATAATTAAACTTCAATTCCATAACAGAGAATAAGGTGAGGGATTCTTACTCGAATCCGTATCCGAAACACCGAACATTCAGTTGCACCTACTGGCAGTCCTCGAATTTTCTAAATTTTTCTGTGAAGATTAAAACACGCTTCACGTATCTAAAAATACTCCAAAAAATCCAAAATCAATGTTAAAAATCTTTTTCAGCCAATTTCAGAATTCTGGCACAGTGGCACCGCCGCTCGCGGCGGCGATTTGCCACGGACTGATCATTTTCGATCAATTTTGGCTGGTTCCAATTGGTTTTATACTCATCTATGCAAGAAAACACGTTAAGGGGCCTCGGTTGGCCAAAAAAAAAATCAAAAAACAAACTTATCGGTGACGAAATTTTCTGCTGTAACGGCTCCGCTGGCTCACCTTCGCAGCTGAGCATTTTTCTTCGGTCAACCTATAGAAAATATAATGGTGAAAATAATGATAGAAAAATCGCACGAAATGAAAAACGGAAAGGGACTCATCGGATGCGATTTTTAACTTTGTCCGCAGCGGCGCCGCCGAACTTTACCCGCGGTTTTCAGCTCATCCGTTGTTCCTTTTACTCCGATTTGGCCATGGGGGTGTTCGAAATGAAATTTCGAGCGGATAAGAGAATTTTTATCTTTTTTGGTGGTCAGAGGTAGCTCCGGCGCTACGACGAGCGGCGGTTAGCTCCTTTCTCCGGTGACTGATTTTTCTTTTCCAGCGGGGAGCTGGAGGCTAGGGTTTGGGTTTAGTGTAATACAAGATATTTATACCCGTCTCTCTTAAATTTAAGTCGTTTATCACGTTTGATCTCGACCGTCCGATCGCGTTTAAAGAAGAAATAAATTTGAATCGTTCATCGCGTTTAATCGCGACCGTCCGATTGCCCTGAGGAGGAAACGAATCTGGATCATCCACGCGCGCGGGAATGCATCTGGACCATCCGATCGCAGGCACACGAATTGCCAGCGTGGCCTCCCGCATGGCACCGAGTCAGCGTGCCTTACCACGTAGCACGCTCCAATTCGTCGAGACTGTTGACTGAACAGTCATACGCAGTGTAATTTTCTTTAATTGCATTTTGACCTCCAATTTTAAATTTTTCTTTTAAAAATACCATACGAACTCAAATTTTCACTTTTTTTTTCAAAATTATTTCCAATTTCATTTTCAACTTATTTTTTTTCTAATTTTATATTAAATAAAAATTTATAAATTTTAAAATTATATTTTTATATATTTTTAAAATTTTAAAAAATAATTCTAGACCAAATTTCGAAACAGAATATTACATATTGTGCACATTTTGTGTGTGACAATGTTCATTATTATATGGATGGCACCCTTTACTGCAACTAAGGAATCACTCACAGGACCACCACCACCACAAGCATTCAAGGGTAAGGGCTAGCAAGAAGACCAGCCTCAACCACCACTCCAGGCTGATTACGGCATATCGAATTCAGAGACCCACCTCTGGCAGAGGCTATGCTGCTCCAGTTCCTCACACATCCTAAACTCACCTTTTTTACTATCTATTCACCCTCTTTCTTTATCTCAAGTACAATAAACAATTCTAAACATACAGTTACCAGTGTTCTTTTTTCCTATCAGCTCAATCATGTTCTTCCATGCTATTTTAATGTCTTTTTCTTGCATCTTCTTTCATTGTTATAGCATGGTAAATGTCCAATAAAATGCCCAAATTTGTCATGGAGAACATAATACTGAAATATGAGTGAGAAGAGGCCCCCTACAGGATTCTCCAACCGTCCACAACAATGCTTGGGATTAACTGTACACCGAGATTGTTTGGGTCCAAATCTCAGCTCAGAATCAAACTCATGTAGCTTTAAGTAGGTCTTCTGAGGTCAAGACATATAGATATGTATATACATATACGTATATATATATATATATATATATATATATATATATATATATGGAATGGAGAATCAATCTTTCCACGAGTGCAATTAGGAAACAAAAAAACCAAAATTGTTTATTGGAATGAAGAGTGACATTTGCACATGGAGAACTAATCATTTGCTGAACTGATCATCCTTCTACTAATCCACTTCCCTAATAAATAAAAAAAACATTTTTCCTTAGTAGGTAAAAATATATCCGAGGGGGCCAATGAAGAGTGAAGCAAGGCGCTTTTCTGCTCATGCACACAATACATAACTTCAGTTTAGATATTTAATGTTGTTGGCAACAACAAAAACATCCAACTCGAGGACCATGCAGTTTTTCTCAATCAAGCATCACATTTTACCTGGGAGAAAAGGAAAGAAAAAGCTTAACTAAATCAAATGAATCTTTATTACTAGTAAACCAAGAGCAACTGTTAAGGAAGATCCAAAAAGTACCAAATTGTGACAAGAAGTTGAATGGGTCAAATGTTTTGATCCCATCAAAATGAGGATTATGTTTATTTCATATTGGGCTCTCCTCAATACCAGACGATATGTTCTTACTAAGATGATAAAGGCAAGAGTTTCAATCAAAAAATCAGAGAACTGCCTGTCTTCTCTACTACTTATTTCTTACCCACATCAAATTTCACGCAAAAACTTATTTCAACATTAACTTTAATAAAACTTATTTCAGTATTTAGCTTTAACAGGAAGAATCATTCACAACTGGCCTAGTTACATTAGATGAATAGATGAAGGCCCGGATATAGCAGCAACTCTCTGAGCATGTCGTGCTGTTTCCTTATACAGCTCACTTGTTTCTTTTTTAATTCGTAGTGCCTCACGCCGTTTCTCCCTTACGGCAGCCTGCATCCAATCAAAATCATATTGTGTGGTGTATCAACAATTGAAGTATCAAAAAATTAAAAGCCAGTGTATTTTGAAACATGCAGTGCACTTACGGGCAATCTTCCAGAAAAAGAAGTTATACAGAAATAGGCACTGAATTATCAGTTACTGGCACTCGCTCTTACACACAAACAAACACACACAAAAGCTCATAAAAGAGCCAGAAGCAGTAATACCTTTCGCTCTCTCTTCTCATCTTTTGACTCCTGCCCACGTGGCTTCCTCTTCAGCGGTTCAATTTTCAAGCTGCACACGTCCTTTATTTCTTTTTTGTCAGTCTTT